TCCACTGCGCAAGTACGGTTCAGCATCCTGGGCACTCATGAGGACAAATCCAGAGCTCACTGGGCCTATCTGTTGAGGTTGCAATTGAGGCAACACACGTCCCTGAGCACGAAAGGCACCATCAAGCACTTGAATCTTCGTCAAGTCAAGATCAATCTGGGGAGGAATACCAGGGGCAGGCTTGTCTTTGGAAGATTTCTTTCCAACCGGTTTGCTCTTGTTGGAAGCAACCACTGCTGCCAACTCGGATGGCAACACAAATTTGAAACTCACATTGTTCGCCAAGGCCTTCAACTGGCGCCACGGTTGAGGTGCCTGAAGAGCTTGAAGCAACTGTTCACTTCCAATAGCTCGAATTGCCTGGGAGGCTCTGGCTTCAGACAGCTGCGGGGGGACCCCATGCTTGAGTAACTCATCGGAGAGCGATTTGACTAACGCACCTGACCCACCAGCACCCCATACCAAAGGACATCGACAGACCTGATCAGCATAATTTCCTGAACAAAGTGTGCCCGCATGTTGGAATGCATAGTGCGAAGATCAGCAACTGATTCTGGAAGAGGGGCTTCCATTAGAACATGGGCAATAAAAGCCATCGCATGAGCACCACAAAGATCATGTGGGGGCAGGGCATTGGGAATCCTATGGACAACGATATCCTCGAAACCAAGGTGAAGCCCCATCCAACGAAGTTTTCCATCAATGCCATCATAGTCACCAACCTCATTGAAGGTATGCACTACCAAAACTCGCCCTCCCGGCACAAACCAAAGGGGAATCCAATGACCATCAATCCACAAGGCAGAAACAATCTGATGTCCTTCAGAGCGAACTTGAGGAAAGGCGCAACACCATTTCTCCGTGATAATGTGGCCAAATTCATCCCAGTTGAGGAAATTCAAAGGCTCAAAGAAAAGGACAACCGGAAGCGGCAAAGTCTCTTGAACACGTTTGTCATTGCGTCGGCCCAGGAGCACCTGCAAATGAAAACGAATTTCATCATCAGCCATGTCAAGTCCATGCTCTTGAAACAAACCCAGGCGTTCCTCAAGAGGGATACAAGTGTGTGTACGTGTTGGATCATAGGCACCAGAAATGGGAATACTAGCACCTGGGGCTGGGTCAGAGGACGACCCTGCACGACCACCGACATCATTCAAGTTGACATCATCACCAACTTCCGAAGGCCATGCATGTTCAGAACTTTCTTCATCACCACTACCCCAAACCCAAGGCCTCAGGGTCACTTGACAGGACTGGATTGCTGCAGCAAAACGAGTGCGGAGCATATCATGGTAGGCATCAGCTTCACTACTGGTGTGGGGCAACTGAACATCCAACAATGCATAGTGAAGGAAATGAATAGCCAACGCACCACATTTGCTGCACGTGAGAAACAACCTTTGTTGGCAGTTGATGAGAAATGACTTGAAACCCCAGGCAACAGACAAACGCTCAATCAGGCGATTCAGATCAGCATGGGAGTTAACAGGCGAGTCCCACGTGTGAACATTGAGGTGATTTCCACACGAGACAAATTGCACTGGTACCCAATGATTGTCAATGCGAAAAACTCCAATCACTTGCAATCCATCACGAAGAACCTCAGGATGGGATTCCGCCCACCTTTCACACGCAAAGGCATGAGGCGTCCCCCAGGCCGCTGTGATCAATGGGTCAATGACCAGGATGCCAGAGCCAGAAGGCTGCCCAGGCTTGGCACAACTTTGAACGTAGGCCTTGGAAATGGAATGTAAATGAAACCTGAGTTCATCATCTGCCCAAAGGTCACGCTGACACTCAAGCAATTCCAAACGCTCAGAGGAAGTGATGACTTGAGATCTCAATGCAAACAGCTGAGCCGGGTCAGCAATGGTGGGCACTTGCAAATTCAGGAATTGAGCTGAGTCAAGGCCAAGCAAGGCAGATGCAGAACACCTCCCCTGCAAACATGGTACATCGGAATCAATCGCAGCTCCAAGGGAAGGCATCGCAGCATGCATGTCATCATGAGAACAGGGCTCTGTCGGTGCAACAGTGGGTGAGACCTCAATCATGTGTGCATCATTGTCAACAGCCACAAGAGGGCCGCCACTCAGCCTAGATACCACGGGCAATTTCGGGAGTAGCCCGGATTCCCCTCCTTCACAAGATGAACCAAACAAGGTGCCATGTCCATGACTGGATAGTTCAACCTGAACATGTTGATCAACCTCAAGGCCAAATTCAAGGGAAAGGCAATGGTCACTGCGGTCACGAATCTGTCCAACCCAAAACGGGCCAACAAGCTTGGCATGAGCATGAAGCATCTCTGCAATGGTGGCACCAGGAGCAAAAGAACAAAATACCGCAACTTCACCAGACCCAATGAAAGAGATCACACATTGTTCATGGGATATGCACAAATCACCCTTGGGATCTGCCGTGACAAAGTCAAAAACAGGGGTTTCATCTTCATCCGGCAGAGACACATCTGGCGCTCCCTTAACCGAGACTTGAGCACTTCTGATGAGACAATCTAAGACCTCAGCAATAGTGATGGGCTTGGTCCCTTCACATGGCCATCGACTGGGATCCAGCAATTGTGGGAGAAAAAGTTCTCGTGCACTCATCCACTGTGAGACCAAATCAACAAGCTTAGGATCATCCAACATACGGTCATTGCAAGGCCACACAAGCTGGGACCTGGCCACCAGCCATGAGCGAAATGCATGCAACTGAGCTGTTGGCGGAAAGTTACATTTGCCATGAGTCAAAACATCAAGCCGAGCAACCACAAAGCTCAAGATCCAAGCAGCTTGCAATGGTGAGGCAATCTGGCCAATTGCAGAGAGAGCCAAACGCACATTCTCCCCAAAATCAATCATCGGATCAACTCCATTGAGAAGCTGAGCCTCACACGGGTGCAGATGCCGAAGACCCGGCTGTTCAATTTCATTGGATGAGCTCTGGAGAAGGCAGCCAAACAAACCTTTCTCTTCAAGCCTTTGAGGGGAGAGTCCCACAGCACGACATCCACATTCACAACCACGAACCTGTGAACCCCACGCATGCAAAGCCGTGGGTGCAACGCCCTCAGGTGTGAGCATGTGTCTGGCATACGATCCATCTTCCCATCCAAATGCACCCAACTCTGTCTGATCAAGAGCCAAAGCCATTTCATCCCTGGGGTGCCACTGACAAACATATGGCATGAGACGATGGACTTTTTCAAGGTTGGACAGGACCGGCCAATCATGAACCTGGACTGGACCAAACAACTTGGACGACAAGACCCACCACGTTCTGGTTCTGCGGCATGGCCACACAGCATCAAGCTTCAACTCAATGATCTCTTTGTGGAAACCAGTCATACGGACAAAAGCATCAATGGACTTGACCACGAAGGGATCAAGTTTTGCAGGTGAAACACATTCCAACACTAGCACACTAGCACTTGCGTTTGGAGCATCACAGCAGCTTTCAGAACACCACTGAGCGAGGCAGCACGCGGGTCAGAACCTCCTCTCTTGTCACCTAGTTGACTGAAAGGCTGACAGCTGTACCCAGCACACATGATGGCAGCGTGTTGAGCCTTGTGCCACGTGTCAATGATCACCTCAGTACTGCCAATGTCTCCATGTACTACTTCACATGTGTCATGGCGCTTGTGCAGACTCAACATACGGTCATTAGCATCTACAGCAACCACTGTCTGAATGCCAACTGTGAGAGCGCCATGGGCAATTCCACCGGCACCTGAGCATGCATCTACCATCTTGAAAAGTCACACCAGGCTGGTTTGGTATGCGACAAAATCCTGGTCTTGTCACATCTGCGCAAAATGGGGACTGGAAACTGGCAAACAAACTCTGCTTCGCAAATGGTGTATCTCCAAAACCCATCATCCAACAACCCTTGAAACTTACACATGGCACCTGAGTGAGGCAGGACAAGCATGTGGCTTTCATGACTCGGATCAAAGAAGGCGATTTCAGCGACCAACGACATAGTTTCACCCTTATCAACAGTCGAAAAATCCATTGGGAAAGATTCCATGGCAATGGCAAACGATGTAAAGCTACACACCCAGCAATCAGCCTGCGCAGCCGAACCCCACTGGCAGGAACTGGGCCAAACGGCTGTTCCAAACCACCAACCAGATATTATATTAATATATATATATCTATATCGATACGTCGTAATACATAATGTGGAAAACATATGTCCCGGTTTTCCCCTTTCCGATGCATCCTGCCCGTCCACCGCAAGATTTACAACTTCTGTGGATGTTTCTTCGAATGGGGGTATGCCCCCCCAAATGGGAGTTAATTAGGGACAGTGCTGAACCAATGGGTTTGGGGGTATTCATGGCCCCTATTTTCACACAAACATCATTTTATCTTGTCCGAACTCAGAACTGGTGCGTGATACCATGTGATAATGCTCTCTCCTCGATCCCTTGACCGAGTTTTCCGGCAGCCGGGCGGCGCAAGGCACAAGGCACTTTTTCGAAACCCCTTAGGATGGAGGCCATACTGTCCAGGCCATCGGCTTCCGACAGGAGCTGTCATTTCCGAGAGCTGTCTCGATTGGACACTGCTCCAGCTACAAAAGTTTGCACCGTGCTTCCAGTCCCTTCTCAAAAGGGGCCGCTCCGGGAATTTTCCACATGGATCCTTTTTCAACATGTTACTAACGTTGGAAAGCACATAGCTCAGACATAGCTGAGACTTACGAGTCTTCAAGATCTTCGGTATGAGACTCTGTGGCACCTCTAATGACAAGCTCCGGAGACAGGTGCCTGGCTCTGAGCGGATCTTTGGTCCCATACTCTGTGGCTCATTGCTAAAGCTGCGGTCCCTTGATACAGGCCTCGGCAGCTCCCTTCGCATGCCATCATGCCATGTGACTCAATTGGTTGGTTTACAGCCCCATCTAAGTATAGATTGATCCACCAAAATCCTCAGGTGACTGAATCTGGCAAGTGGTGTGACCAAAATCAGTGTTCCTCACAAGTTTCAGCAGGACCAAGGCACTTTGGCATCAGAACCCGCTCCCAAGGACGGGTTCACCTCTGCTTCTTCGCTGGTAAAGTCCTTCTTCCTGAAGTTCAACCCAGGGTTGTCACAAATTGCGCCATAGCCAAATTTTCATCGAACTTAAAAAAAACAAACACTTTTAAACATAACCTGTCTCTAATCCAATATATACATATACATATATAATGATAATCGAATCCTATATGATCTGTATGAATGTACGTACATATGTTTATATGATATTATATATATATATGCTATATGTATATGAATATGGATACACACGCACAAACACGGTTATACACGATGTGTACACTTTCGATCACTTGGTGCTGCCCCAAGGGTCACAGGTCTACAGCCCTCGGCAGAGCCACAGTAAAGATTCCGCAGGTTGCAATAGTTGGTGGATCCATCCGCGATGGAGAACACCTCCGGGGTGCATTGGCACCAAGGTCTACTGACCGGCTGTGGCACCATTGGCACCAAGGTCTACTGACCGAGTCTAGCGGCTGAAAAGCTATGAAAAGATGGAGTTTGATACCCCATTTTGGGCAGATTTCATTGGGAAAACGATGATCGAACATGGGATTGTGGGTGGGACATTGGACCCCATACCTGAAGGATCTTCCGTCCCCAGTGGGAGTTGCAGTGTGGTTTCCATCGTGCCATATCGTGCCTGCGACTCAGAGCAGCCCATAATCATACCTCAGACCACCAAAGACCAGCCATGGACAATCGCTGACACTGGCAAGCAGGCGCAGCTGAAAGGGGAAGACTCAACCACTGGAGAAAGTCACATGATTCCAACCGACCTTCAAATGGAGTCTGACATGGCTTGACATCTACTCTTCAGCATGTTGTGCTGCGACTTTGTTGGAGTCCAAAAATGGGCGACGCCCCAAAAATAATAAAAAATCCACAGTCAAACTGATGATCAACCATGGGATTTGTTTGGGCGCTCTATTTTCCAAACAAATCCATCCTCTTCTGCTCCCCATTGTGCAAGGATCATTTGCCCTCGACCGCCGCGAGGGTCAAGATCATTTTGTCCTCCCAGCCGGGCCGTTCAGAGGCGATTTTTGACCAATGGGCCCAGCGTATCAAAGGGGTTCTATATATGGCTATGGATCAATACCTGTAAGTACCATTTTTAGGGTGATGAACATCCATTTACCAGCTATTTTGAGGTTCACCAGGGGTACAAGGTTTTGACCCATATCCCTTGGCAACTGTCCCCAACAATGGTGCTGCACCTTGAGTTTTTTCTCCAAAGTTCTGTACAAACCAAACCATAAGCAGTAAGACTTCAGAGGGACCCATGAGAGGCACACAGCTGGGTCCGTATATTTCTTGTTGCCCGTCAGCCGTTTCAGCTCAATCTCTGAGGAGGATTCCGAGAGGATCGTGTAGGTTCCTGTCCATTCGGCTTGGGGAACGTCTGCTGTATAAAGAGATCTCTGGAGGGTCATGGTACCCTCTGGTAATTTAACATAGCTATTGAAAATGGTGATTTATAGTGGATTTTCCCATTAATAATGGTGATTTTCCATAGTTATGTTAGTTTACCGGAGGCTAGAATTTGAATGAACTATCATGAACTATGATGAAATGGAACCCAATGAATGGGAACCCAATGAATGAATAGATCCAATATGATCCAATACAAACATATACAAACAATGGTTCCCAAGGGGGATTTAAATTCTACTGGGGGGATGTTATACGATGTATAGTACAAGAGGCTAGGATTACATTGCGCAAAATATGAGTATGAGATAGTATGAGTATGTATCAAAGCGTTAGCTGGCAAAATTTATCTGGATGCTCATTCCAGCCAAATGTAGGACAATTATCGAATTTATTGCGGGTGTTGACCCATCCCTGTGTGCTCCAGTGAATGTCGAATGGCGGTATGACTTATCTGTATGCGACCAAAAATGCCCCCAAAAATGGCGAATAGAACCGTGTAATCCTCGGAGCAAAATCTTCTCGTATAGGGGAATCCCAGTGGAAATATCAATTCATATGGCTCTGGGGGTGTCAGCTGCTGGTAGTAAAGCAGCGGCAAGGCAACCTACCAATAGATCTATCATTCTATATATATAGTCCATATTTATATCTATCTCATTCTATCTCTATCTATCTCTATCCATCTCTATCCATCTATCCATCTATACATCTATCCATGTATCGATGTATCGTTGTATCGATGTATCGATCGATCGATCGATTGATCTCTCTCTATCTATCTATCTATCTAATTTACTTTAACTTATCTAATTTATCTAATTTATCTAATTTATCTAATTTATCTAATTTATCTATCTATCTATCTATCTATCTAAACTACTTTAACTTATCTACTTTATCTACTTTATCTAATTTATCTAATTTATCTATCTATCTATCTATCCATCTATCTATCTATCTAATTTATCTAATCTATCTAATCTATCTATCTATCTACCTATCTAACTATCTACCTATCTACCTATCTACCTATCTACCTATCTACCTATCTACCTATCTACCTATCTACCTATCTGTCTATCTGTCTATCTATCTATCTATCCATCTATCCATCTATCTATATCTACCTATATCTATCTATATCTACCTATATCTATCTATATCTATCTATATCTATCTATATCTATCTATATCTATCTATATCTATCTATATCTATCTATATCTATCTATATCTATCTATATCTATCTATATCTATCTATATCTATCTATATCTATCTATATCTATCTATCTATATCTATCTATATCTATCTATCTATATCTATATCTATCTATCTATCTATCTATCTATCTAATCTATTGAATCTATCTATCCATCTATCCATCTATGTATGTATCAAATCTACAAATCTACAATCTATATCTATATCTATATCTATCTATCTATCTATCTATCTATCTATCTAATCTATCTTATCTATCTTATCTATCTAATCTATCTAATCTAGCTTATCTATCTTACCTATCTAATCTATCTAATCTATCTAATGTATCTAATCTATCTAATCTATCTAATCTATCTAATCTATCTAATCTATCTAATCTATCTAATCTATCTAATCTATCTAATCTATCTAATCTATCTAATGCATCTAATGCATCTATTCTATCTATTCTATCTATCTATCTATCTATCTATCTATCTATCCTATCTATCCTATCTATCCTATCTATCCTATCTATCCTATCTATCCTATCTATCCTATCTATCCTATCTATCCTATCTATCCTATCTATGCTATCTGTTCTATCTATTGTATCTATTCTATCTATTCTATCTATTCTATCTAGTCTATCTAGTCTATCTAGTCTACCTATCTATCTATCTATTCTATCTATTCTATCTATTCTATCCATTTTATCTATTCTATCTATTCTATCTATTCTATCTATCCTATCTATATCTATCTATATCTATCTATATCTATATCTCTATCTATCTATCTATTCTATCTATCTATCTATTCTATCTATCCTATCTATCTATCTATCTATATCTATCTATATCTATCTATATCTATCTATATCTATCTATATCTATCTATCTATATCTATATCCATATCTATATCTATATCTCTCTCTATCTATCTATCTATCTACTGTCTACTACAGGGTACACACACATATATATATATATGCATACACACGCATAGACATAAGATATCCCGATATATCCCTCTTCCGGCTCATCCACTCCCTACCCTGGGATTTGCTGGTTGCGGGGCCATTCTTTCTTTCGGGTGAAGCACTGCGTGAAACCTGAGCTGTAGGAGGATATCATTAATTATCACCATATTCTGTCGCTTAAATATCCATAGGCCCCATAGTATCATATATCCCTCTTATTTTGGGGTAAAATCCCCATCACTATTACTATGATGTGGTTGGGAAACTCAATTTGTAGTTCCAACTGGCTTTCCATTCATCATAGGGAATATGGATACAACCATAGCTCCGAACCGCTCAGTCCTAACTGGATAGTCAATATCAACCATGATTATCCCAACTATACTCCATTGTGGCCCATCATAACTTATAACCCACTATATCCCCAATGATCCATCTATCATGTGGTTGGGGAACTCTTAGTAGCTTCAGCTAGCTCCACCTCAATAGGGAAAATAGATTAGCATAGCTCCGAATCGCTCCCTTCTAACCTCTGGAATAGATTAGACTTTGTATCACTAATATCATCTAATATCTAAACTATCCATAGTATCCCTATTAGTTTGGGGCTTAAATTCCTATCACTATCAGGATCTATCTATTAGGTATCACTAATAACCTCTGGATATCTCTGGATAGCCCCTCAGCTGCCTCCATTGTGTGGGTCGTGCCATGTTGGCGACTTCACTCGTGCCAGCACCTCCTCGTGCACGTCATGGCAGGAGGCATCGGCAATGGCCACCACCTACCCCGCAGTAGGGCTGAGGTGTTTCTTTATGTTTCTTCTGATGGCTTGCCATAGAAAATCGGCGGATCCAAGCATTTAAAATGGGAACTTAGTGATTTGGGATGATTTAAGTATTGGAGATGTGGATTCCACACAACAAATATGGGATTTTAGCATGCAACAAGGGAAGCAACTTCTCGAAAGCGTTGACTTATCATCAAGAATAGGGATTTTGCAAACAGTTCCATTTATCATTGGGTTCATTGTGTTTGTTGAATCGTACAAATTGCAGACCTTTTTTGACACTAGACATAGGCAATCTAGGCATGTCCAGTCCCTCAAACCATTTTGTTTTCTTGGGGGTCAGTTGGGTAAATCATCACAGACAGGTACCACTAGGAAATTAAGCTCCAATCATGAAGCAAAGGTAGCTACCGACCAGCATGCCCACTTAAAAGACCCATTGGTGACTGATCACAAGCTGTCTCCAAGGCTCGTCCCTAGTGTTTATGTACAACATGGCTCTCCTTGGGTTGGCCAAAAAATAGGCGGCCATAGGCTACCCCAAGATTCAATGGTTCGTCATCATCGTCATCGTCATAATGATCATGATCCGTCATCATGATCCGTCATCATGATCATGATCATGATCATGATCATTTTCCCAATTAAAGTATAGCAGAAAATACAGCACATTTGTGATATACCCTATTTCCGGACAACCCCATTTCTTCTTCTCCTTCTTCCAAATGGCCACCCCAACATGTTTCCTCCAACCTTGGCTGACGCGTGGATAAAGGACGCAGATCCCGGGCATTTCATCGCCCAAACCCTGGACACCAGAAGCAGGCACAAAAGCCGCGCCATGGCTGGGGCCCTTGATCTCTTCAGCGGCTACTGCATCGGTCAAAACCCCTGGTCTCCTGGTGTTCGCGCGAAAATATCATAACATATCTGGTAATTTAACATAACTATGGAAAATCACCATTTTTAATGGGAAAATCCACTATAAATGGCTATTTGCAATAGCTATGTCAAATTACCAGAGGGTATCTGGTTCTGGATGTTCATCCCCATCATCCCCCCGATATCCTGGGGCCCCCAGCGGATGGCCACATTCTCTCCAGGACACAAGCCGCCGCAAATCACAATGGCTGAACAGGACATGGCATCCTGCGTGGCTCGGCTCACCATTGGGCGAAACATCTAGGGATTCGACCATCAAAAATGGTGAGTCACATTGATCAACGATTATTACCATCAGAAGGAAGGACCTAACATAACTTTAGCATCAAGACACCCCGGAAATGCACAGGCAATCGAAATCAATCCAATAATCTTCCCTTCCCGCAATATCACATATCTCCAAATGGGCCACAACAAATCCACCGTATAGATCTTAAACGTTGCTCCGCTGCTCTGAGGGTCCAAACATGTCTCAGATCATCTCACTTCAGCAGTGGACCAACATGATTATGGATGCCTTAGCGTCGGAAAGTAGTAATTTAGTAGTTTAGATCATTAAAAATACAAATCTACATGTGTCACCATCAGTGTTGATGACATTGATGACGTTCCAGCTGGCCCACTATACAAAGAACATCAAAAAACATCTAGCAACCAACCGGCAGTTGGAATAATTGCACGGTTTCAAATTGGGCCCTTCAAGAAGGCCAAAAACCAGTCCCGTAGACCCAGCAAATCAAAATTGATTAGCCGAATTTTGGGGAATGTATCTGCTGGGAAACCCCAATATTTGGAGAACGTAGTCAGTTACTCCCTTATGTCCACTATAATTGCCATGTGGAAATCCTGACCCACGTCCCAAAGCGCACGACCCTGACCTCGGGATTGAAATGCAACACTCCACGGGGTCCAGCACGTAGCCTGACATCTGCAAGATGCAGGAAAGGTGGGTTTGGGCCTCTTGTATGGCTCAAACTTCAGCAAAACAAATGGCAAATGGACCTCCCGACATAATCTCGGTTATCCCAACTGAAGCCCGGACAGCTGGTAACAAGGACGTCCAGCACCTGAGTGTTGCTGTGCAAATAAGCCAACAAGCCAAACAGGGAACCGAGGGTCATGCGGAATTGGCACTTGTTTCAAATACATGTGCATCTTTTAAATCACACGCAGGTATATATATATAGCTGTGTTACATGCAATTAAATGTTGATATGCATGTGCAGATATGGTCCACGTACTAGTATATTCTTGGTTAATCATATATACACAAACAATAATAAAGAACACACATAGGCAAATTGGAAAAAACAAGTTGCACTGAATGTCTATAACACATATGATATATATATACATACTATCATATACATTCATATACTGTATGCATGTATTGACATGTGTGCATAAATATATAAACACATACAATATACAGTATACTTTTCCATGGGGTGATAATCCGACCAAATTCCCTTGAGTCAAAACGACCAAGGCAGGAACCGGAATCCACACGGTCTGTGGTTGATACCGCTTCAACCTTAGCAGCCAAGGGTCCTAGCTTGTCCTGACCAAAGAATAAGCTGGGAATCAAACATGGCGACGGAACCTCTGCTTCGGACTATCAATAATGGCATAAAATATCATAAAATGATGTCTTTTTGCCCGATTTTCCAGTGCCTGGTTGCCGGAGGGTGGGCATTCCAAAGCCCGTCATCAATTGCTCAGAAGCTCCCGGAAGCTCCTGAGTTCCCCACAGCCCAGGCGTTGTTGTCCAACAGACCCGCCGAAGGTTTCAGTGGAGTGCTGACTTCAGCTGATGGATAGTTGTCGCCTCAGCTGCTCAGCTGACAGCTGCTGGGAAGATGTGGAAAGTCTGGAGAAAACCTATGGAGATAGCAACCAATGCAACCAACAATCTCACCAAAATCTCACCAAAATCTCACCAATATTCCGAAATAAGCTGAAAATCATCCCTCTAACCTTGGCATCCTCTAATCTTAGCTGCTGCTCTATCCTCACCAAGTTTTCATGTTCCCAAGGCTCCTGGTGCACTGAGCTTTGGGCTCAGCCGCATCACTTCCAACTTTCGGATCTGCCCAGGCTTTTGCAACTTCCACTTCAGAACTTGTCAAGTGTGCCAAGGTGATATGCCATCTGGCAATCTAACCACATGGTAAATTGCCAATTCAAATGGGAGAATCACGTAAAATAATCAGGGGACTTAGAAACAAATGAACCATGCGAGATCTGGGAACTCCCGTTGAATTGACTAGGTACAAGAATCATACAAGAATCATAAGAAGCGAAATGAACCACAATCAATACATATCAATACCCCATCAACTATCCCAGTGCATTCCGATGGCCTGTCCGTTGCTGGTCATGATGTCACGGCATTGCAAGGGACGCTCCTCTTTCACTTCCTTTGGCGTGGCTGGATTCCACAGTCCGCTTTTTTTTTCTGGCGATTTCGGGGGACCCCAAAACCAATGACGTTCCCACTAAGAACCAAAATGAACCAAACGTGTGGGATTCTCTTGTTGGGCCCACACTTCAGGAAACACCTCTGGTGCCTTTTTCAAGCACCATGGCACTTTCCTGGCAAACGCAGCTGCTTGGGGATCCAGACGCCAAAACCATCGAAGGTCTTCAAGGCCACCTTGGGGCTACTGCGAAACATGTGGGATGTGACATGGGGGCGCTAAGTGTGTGTTTTTTGGATTGGTTGAAGGAACATTCAAAGATAAAACCCATGGCATGGAAAGCCTCGTGCTTGATGGGTAGCAACTGGGGGTAGAACCCAGGATCTCGGGCAAGGACTCTTCCATGGTGGTTACTTTCCACTAAGTGGGATGACCCTCCGATGCTTCCCCTTGGTGCCCATGTCATTAGGTTGCCAGGGAGCATCCTTGATCTCCACGTTGCCGCCAATGCTCTCCTGCCGAATCGGAAAGTGATGCTCAGAAGCTCAGACAATGGATCAATGGCACATCATTGATATGCTCACAAGAACATGGATGATACAAATGATGATACATTTACATACATTTACCATCATTTACCAATCATTTGCCAATCCTGCCAGAATCCCCAAAATGTCCCCGGGGGAGTCAGACGTGGCAATGGAAAATTCACCAGTTAAGATCATTTTGCCATTCAATTTCCCCATTCCTCGGGGATTTTCAATTGCCATGTTTGATTCGCGGAGGGTAAGTGGGACACTTCCCAACTCCCCTTAAATTCGCTGCGCTGGCCGGCAGCAATCCATGGATATCCATGGCTCCTCTTCGACCTTCAAACCGTTCCAATCCGCAAAGCTCATCATTTCTGGCCTGGGAGATCTGTTTTGGGGGGTGGGATGTTTGGGGGGTTTGGGGTCTCGGAATTGGTTGAGCGGGATAAAACACCAAGGTGCTATGGAAAGCCACCCCGGAGTCTGGGGGATGGATTTGGTGAGGGCATCTTGAAGAAACCTTCTGAGCTGGTGCACTCCTGGTCCTTCTACCCTTTGCTATCCATGGTTCACACGTCCCGTGCAGCAAGCCATGACCTGAGACCCTGCTCGATTGTGTACTTGAAGGGCTTCCCCAAAGTGATAACGGATTGAGTTATCACATGTTATCAATATCTAAGGATGAATCATCATTAAAAGACACGTTCTCACTGTCTAATAACTCCATACTAAATTACTACATTTGATCAATTTCTGGAATAATCATAGTTGCATCATGATTCTTCCAGCAATTAATCCAACTATGATTCTTCCAATAGTCATTATAACCCTTCTAACTACCCTCAGGGAATCGAACGTGGCTACAGTAGCTGGAATTTCCCCCCATGAACGGAGGTTATAGCAGGGAAAATAAACTATAAATGGAGGATGTTCCATTGCGTTGATTATTACGGGGGGGGGTATTCACTGTAGTTCCTATTGGCATGGGAAAATGAATATTCCAACTGTTTCGTCACATGCCAGTGAAAGGCTACCCCAATGGTTGATACGTGGTTCAATTATAGTAAAAAAAGTAACAAACTATTGGATAAATAATTATTGGGTTAATGACTATTGGATTAATAACTACATTAGACAAATATGTATTGGACCATTGAATGAATAACTATTGGAATCTATTGGATGAATAACTATTAGATTCTTAGATCAAACACTATTGGATAGATAACTACAGATTAAAAACTATTGGATGAATAACACAATGGTATCACTAACTATTAGGTATAACCATTAACCATCAATAACCATCAATAATCATCAACAACCATCAATAACCATTAATAACCATTAATAACCATTAATAACCATTAATAATCATTAATAACCATTAATAACCATTAATAACCATTGAGTATAAGTGAGTTACTACCCACAATGGTTGAGGTCACAGCAATGCAGGTGGCGGCTTCTGCGGACGCTGAGGCCTTGGGCAGCGCGCTTTTTTGGGGGCAGCGTCCGCAACCGCTGGGTCATGGAGGAAAAAACGTCTGTTTAATATGGTAAAAATGTTGGAAAACCATATAAACCATATAAGTGTATATTTAATATATGGTTATGATGTTGGTTCTAATGGTTCTAATGTTGGTTATGATATGGTGTGATATGGTTCTTTTATTCATATGACCGGACTATAAGAGGCTTAGACTATGATTATAGGGTCATTACCGGCTTACTAACTGGAATGTTGTGGAACGACAATAATGGTCCGGTTTCATGAAACACTATATAACTGCACTATATTGCACTGTCAATTACCTAGAACGGTTGTGAACAATGGGGATGCCTCCTCTATCAATCCACCAGTGGGACAAGGATCTATGAAAGCAGCTGATACTAGATGATAAACAAATTCATTAAATGAAAGCTGTGTCTGCTATGACCTGACATGATGTGTATCCCTTGCTGGGAACTTTGAGTGTACACGAAATTTGGATGGAA